AACCTCGCCTCTTAAGGGTCCCACTAGGGCCAAGCTACAGACTGAGTTTTTGTTTTTTGAGACAGGGTCTCACTATGTAGTTTAGACTGACCTGGAACTCACTATGTAGCCCAGGCTGGTCTCGAACTCTCAGAGATCCTCCTGCTTCAGCCTCCCCAGTGCTGGGATGACAGGCCTGCCTCACCAAGCCCAGCTCAAGACTCTGAGTTTTTAACACATGGGGATTGGTGGAATGCTCAGGTCTGGAGGGTAGCAGTGATGCCTCCTCTGTGCCTCCTCGTCCCCATTTTTGTTTTCCTTCTTTATGACCTCACATCTTCCTTCTGAATGGTGGAACCAGGAGATAAGGCCTTCCAGGAGATCTGGTGTAGACAGCAGCACGGAAATGAGGGAGGACATATTTCTGGCTGTTTAACTATCTGTAGCAAAGATGGGACTTGTCCCCAACAGCTGTCCCACCCCCCTCGCTCTGCACCAGAACTCTGATTATCAGCGGAGCACGTCTGACCTTTCAGGGACGATGGCATTCCCTGAAACTTGTGCCATGGCCATGTGGGTACAAAGAGTTGGAATAACAGTGACCCGAGGGAGGGGCCCGCACCCTGCCCTCACAATGCCACTGAGCCAGCTGCGAAGTGTGCACTCAGACCGGGGTCCGGGGGAGACTGACATCAGATGTCATCAGAGTGGGGCCCTGTGCCTGAATTGGGGTGGCTTTGTCAAAAGAGGGACAGAGGCAGCTGGGCGCACTCCTGTAATCCCAGCACTCAGGAGGCTGAGGCAGGAGGATCGCTGTGAGTTCGAGACCAGCCTGGGCTCCATAGTGAGTTCCAGGTCAGTCTCAACTACATAGTGAGACCGTCTCAAAAAAAGAAAAAAAAAGGGACAGAAGTTAGAGGACACGGATGCACACCATGCCTTCCCTGTCTTTCCCCATGATGCTCTGTGCTACTCTAGGGCTCTGCCAACAGGAGGCCATCACCAGGTGTGGGCCCTCTCAGCCTTGGGCCCCCAGAACTGTGGTCCCCAAACCTCTTTGCTTTAGCAGTCACCCAGCCTCAGGCATTGTGTTACAGTAGCAGAAATATGCTGACACCCAAGCCTCCACTCCAGCAGGTGAAGACACAGGGTCTGCATGTGCCATCCTCCCAGTCTTTATCTTCTGTGTCCCTTCATTTGGTTGACTTGTGTCCTGATCGGTGAAGCTCTAACTTCTTTCTTTCCTTTCTTCCTTCCATTTCTTTTGTTACTGGGGTATGAATCTAGGGTACTCTACCACTGAGCTACACCCCAATCCTCTTTTATTTCATTTTGTTTTGAGGCAGGGTCTCACTATATTGTCCAGATAGGTCTTGAACTTGGGATCTTCCTGCCTCAGCCTCCCTCACTGCCCAGACTACAGATGTGCATCACTGTGCCCAGGTATAAAGCTGTCATTTTGAGTACAGCACTCTCCTAAATTCTGTGAGTCATTGCTACTTAATTATTCAATCCGGGCAGGCTGCGGGGACCCTGAGTGTGGCGACAGCTGGTCAGAGTGTGGCTGTGTGTAAGGAGAGGGCAGTGTTGTTGGTAACTCTTGGATTCTGGGCCATTAGCATTAGAATCAGGCTTCCGGCTGTGCAGGATGGAACTCAGTCTCTCCAACAAGACCTCAGCAGGAAACCAGGTGCAATCAGCCACCCGTCAGCACTAACAGCTTCGGGGGCAGAGCCTAGGGAGTGAGGATGGCGTCTCATTCACCTTCCCAGGGAGCAGAGCCCTGAGCAGCTGCAAGTGGATCCTGTGGAGGTGGCCAGGACAGGGTGGCAGGGTGGCTGGCATTACCTCCATGATATCCTAAGTGAATATTTACTAGCTGCCACCACTAAGCTAGACATGGGTGGTAAAAGATAGAACTAAGGTGGATGCACTGGAGCACGCCTGTCATCCCAGCACTCAGGAGGCTGAGGCAGGAGGATCTCTGTGAATTCAAGACCAGCCCAGGCTATGTAAGTTCAAGGCCAAGCCTGTACTGCCTCGTGAGACCCCATCTCAAAAAAAATGTGGAAAGGTCCTGGAAATCTGTCTTTTCTGAGCTTCTCTAGGGGAATCATCCTGACACTGAGTTTGCAGAACTAAATCTACAAGTAGCTCTGGCTGGGTGGAGTTGAGTGGGAGCATGGGAAGCTACTGATCTCAGGAGGGCTGAGGGCCCCAGCATACAGACTGCTGAGGAAATGGAAATTTGATCCTGCAGTCACTGAGAGTCCTGGAAGGGAGGGAGGAAAGGTTGGGACTTGATCAGATCTTTGTTCTAGAAAAATGGCTCAGGGCCAGGTACAGTGGTACAAGCCTGTCATCCCAGGACTCTGGGAGGCTGAGGCAGGAAGGTCAAAAGTTCCAGCCAAAGCTGGACAACATAGTTGCTTAGTGAGACTGTTTTAAAGATTTAAAAAAGGACTTGGCTGGGGATTTAGCTCAGTGGCACTGCAAGTCCTGAGTTCAATCCCCAGTACCAGGGATTAGGGGGTGGGGTGGATTTAAAAAAGGCAGGGGAGACGGGTGTGGCAGCACACGCCTGTAATCCCAGCACTGGGGAGGCTGAGGCAGGAGGATCGCTGTGAGTTTGAGACCAGCCTGGGCTACACAGTGAGTTCCAGGTCAGTCTCAACTACATAGTGAGACCCTGTCTCAAAAAAATTAAATAAATTAAATAAAAAACGCGGGGGATGGAGCTCAGTGTAAAGGCTCTGTATTCAATCCCCAGTAACACATGCACACACACACACACACACACACGGCCCCAGAGATGGGGTGTGTGTGCACACGTGTGTGCACATGGGCTGGGGTTGAGACCATGACACCAGGCCCACGGGCTGACAGCAGGCTGGGGAGAAGCAGGTGACGCAGGCAGGACGTCCTTCTTGGGAGAGGCCGGGCCAAGGGTGCATGGGCGGCTACACTCGGAGACACACGGGAGTCAGGGAGAGGGGGAACGTTCGCTCAAAATGGCTCCTTTGGGATGGACTGTGGACATCCGAGGCTGACATTTTCTCTTACACCGGAGGCCTCAAAAAACAGTATCTGGGTGTTTTTCCTATTCTTGGAGGCTGATCCTAAGTATACCGAAATCTCTCCCACAATTAAGACTTCACCCAGACAGCAAACCCGCTCTCCCCACCGTATTCATCGGGTGCCGCCGGCATTTCGGTGTCTTCCTAATCCTATTTTCTCCACTGAGGCGATACTCCTGAGAGAGAGCGTGATTTTGTTTGTTGGCAGCTGAGGAGGGAGACGGGGCTTACCCGAGCTAAGCAAGAATCAATGCCTTGTAATTGCTAATTAAACGAGCCCGGCTGTCCCACGGGGCTATTAGCTAGCTGGCTGGCCCTCAAGTGTCCGGAAATTTAATTATACTCCCTCCGTAAGCACCTGCACCTCCATCACCCTACAACGCGTCTGTGGGGGAGACCCGGAAGAGGCTCTATCAGTGTGTGCTGTATTGACTGATGTGTCGGCCTAGTCTTGGATGCCTTTATGGATCCAACAGGTACGTATCGAGCACCTGCTGGGAGCCAGGCCTCACACCGGGCACTGGGAACGGAGCAGGGATCTCACAGAGTAATGAGGCCGGACGCGTGAACACAAGCGCTCTGATGGCCCAGCTCTGTGGGAAGGTAAAATAAACACGCTGGACCCTGGGGCCCTGTGGCGCTCTGGGAGGGAGGGGGCGGTGCCTTCCTAGCCAAGCCGACAGCAAGGCGAAGGCCTGGATGCTGAAAGCAACCTCCCGTGGTGTCTGACTGGCCAGATGTCACAAAAGGTGCAGTGGACAGTGAACGCGTGTCCTGTGTGTGTGCGTGGAGGGTCTGTGGGACTCATGAGGGAAGACAAAAATCATTTCTGGAACTTTTATTGAAAAGGGCCAGGATTTAGCTCAGTGGTACCACCACCTGATTCACAAGGACAAAATGGTCCTGAGTTCAATCCCTGGTACCAGGAAAAAAAAAAAAAAAAAAGTAAGAAAAGGAAAGAAAAGGAAAGAAAAGTGTCTTCAGAACCCCGAGCTAGGGAGGGGGCTTCAAATGCCATTTCCCTCACGGATTCCCCTGGACGGTCGGTGGGGCAGTTAAGGCCCTGCGTTTACAGTCGTACGTGTGTGAGGTGTGGGGGATGCAGCCCAGGGCCTGCTGCACGCTCAGACGAGTGTCCGCTCCTGAGCTGCACCCCAGCCCGAGTCAGACTTGACGTGTGGCACAGAGGCTCATCGGGTGCAAACCCTCGTTCGCTTCCCAGCCATGCCCGTGGCCTTGGAGTCAGCCAGCGTGGTGGGGGCGATTCCCCCCTGCACAAAAAACAGGCGAAGGACGCGGGAGCCCGCGCTGTGAGGCCGGCTGTGACTTGTTGTCGTCTACATCAGAACAACAAAATCACTAGTCTTCCACACAGCACTGGACCACAACCACGCTGGTCTTCTTCCTTAGCCCCGGTGCGGCCCGGTCCCCTCACCTGAGCCCAGCCGGACGGACGGACGGATCTCCTGCTTCTGTACTGCTTCCTGTTTCCCGTGCTTGGTGCCGCTGGAGAGGGGCACCGGCGAGACCCCCACGGGCCAGCTCCCTCCCGGGCGCCTCGGAAATAGGGGCCTTGGAGTTGGACGGGTGCGGAGCGGAGTTCCAAGTTCCTGTGGGACTGAGAGCCCCGGGAGATCTCCTCCGGGTGTCATCCCAGTGTGGTAAAGCCCACGTCACGCAGCTGGGGACGGCACGGTGTGGTGTGCGTGAGACGCCTGGCCCCGGGCTACTCACCCAAGTCTGGGAAGAACCCAGGAACGACCGCTCGGCCGACACCGTCCCCCCGCCGCCCTTCCACCTGTTGGCAGTGGCAGACTGCGGGATATCACCTCCCTCCCTGGAAAGCAATCACGTTTTAAAACCCCTTAAGCGGGGAGCGGATCTCCAGAAACATCAGGCAGCTCGGGCGACCCCTCCCTCCCCCTCGCACCCACGACCGCAGAATCCGGGAGAAAGGCCGCGCCTTCCCGCGCCCGGACGGCCGAGGCGCTGTCCGCAGCCCCGGTGTTGAAACCGAGCGCGCGGCGCTGTCCAGGATCTCGCTGCTGAAACGCGGGGGATTCGCTCCTGCAGTGGGCGGAGAGCTGGCCTCGGCCTCGGCGCAGCAGAAAACTTGCCTGGCGTCCCCGTTTTCCTCCCGGGCTTCTCTCACACCCCTCGGTCTCTGTTCTTCTGACTCTTAGGAATCCCATTTCTTTCCCTGCGATCCCGGGCAGCTTTAGAATGGCAAACGGGGACACGCGCGCCCGCGCACACACGCGGATTAAAACTAAGACTCCTACCTGCTCCCTACACCCGTGGCACGTTCCCGGAACCTACCTTCCAGGTAGCCAGCCCAGGTGGTGTCGGCTCGGAGACCTTCAAAATTCGTGACTCCGTCACTTTCTGGGAAGTTGTGCAGGTGCTGACCTCCCAACCAGCCCCATCCCTAGGGCTCGGGGTCCCTGCGTCCCGGGTTCCCGGAGCCCCAAGCCATCCCCGAACCCGAGCGCCTCACCTGCTCCCGGTCCCGTTGGTAGATGCAGGTGCCTGGTGGCTGCCGAAGCCCGGACTTGTGCTTTTATAGCCTTCAGAGAAGGCGGGGCGCTGGGAACCCTGGGTGGGGCTTAGGCAAACAACCAATGAGACTTCTCTTTGAATGAAGTTCCAAGGATTACCTCATAGGTTGTGGCCTCGGCTTCAGAATAAAAGTCGGGCATGGGCCCAGCAACTGGAGAGTTTTCTGGAGGGGGAGGAAACACGCCTAGTGGATCCCTTTGGGTCTCACACTCGGTTCAACCCCCTCCTAGGACTCTGAGCATCCAGTGGGCTCAGCAGCCGCCCAGTGTGTGCCATTTCTGGTCAAGGGAGAGAAAACCAGCAAACCGTATTTGAGGAAATCAGGATGCTGAGAACACAGAACATCAGGGACACATAGGGGAAACTGAGGTCTGAGGGAATAAAGGGCTCAGAGGATCCCAGGGCTGCATCTTTGCTTTTTTTTTTTTTTTTTTTTTTTTTTTTTGGTACCGGGGTTCGAACTTGGGGCCTTACGCTCACGAGGCAGGTGGCGGAACCACTGAGCTAAGTCCCCAGCCCGGGACTGCAACTTTGGATGCTTTGTCTCCAGCCAGATCATAACTCAGTTTACTGGGGAGGCTCTGAGGCGGCAAGCAAACCAGCCTTTAAAGTGCCACTGGAAGCCGGGTGCACACCTGTAACCCCAGCATTCAGGAGGCTGAGGCAGGATGGTCGCTGCAAGTTTGAGGCCAGCCTGGGCTCCATAGTGAGTTAAAGACCACAGTGAACTACATCGCGAGACCCTGTCTAAAAAAAGTTTAAACCCATCCTGGGCAAGTCAGAAACTTAGTGAGACCCTGCCCAAAATAAAACTAAAAGTCTGAGAATGGCCCAGGGATTTAGCTCAGTGGTTCTGGCATATGTCTGGCAAGTGCAAGGACCCGAGTTCAATCCCTGCACCCCCCTCAAAAAAAGCCTGGGGATGTAGCTCCGTGTTCTATCCTCAGTGCAAAAGAAAAATAAAATATTGAAGTGTTAGAGTATTTGACTATGGAAGGGTTTCTGTCCTGGCTTGTGCCTCGCCCATCTGAAAGTCCCCTGAAGGGAATCGCTCATTTCATGGAATCTGAGCCCGTACATGAGTCCTGTATTTCATCCCTGGGGCCTGGAGCTTCGAGGAGCTCAGCCACCTGTCAACAGTGACGTGCAAACCAAGGCTGTCATCTGGATAAGCAACCCCAAAGGCTCCCGGGGAGGTGCTCTGCTGAGGTGGTGGGACCTTTAAAAGGCGGGGCCTGGTTGGGAGGCCCTTAGGTCATTGAATACTTGAACCAAAGGAGATTATGGGATGCTTCCCTTCCCTCCTGTCTGCTTCTTGGCCACTAGGGAGTGATTTTTGGTTTGCTTCATGCTCCTTGTCATGACAGGTGGCCTCGTGATAGGCGACCTCTCCTTATTCCCAAAACAAGAAGCAAATAGACCCCAAACAGGAGCCCTCATAACTGTGAGCCCAAGCAAACCAATCTTCTTTATAAGCTGATTGCCTCAGGTATTTGTTATAGCGATGGAAGGCTGCCTACTACATGAGGGCTGACTCCAGAAGATTTCTGGGAAAAAAGTTCAGCCAAAACTCCGAACCATCCCAGCACTCTGGGAGGCTGAGGCAGGAGAATCCCAAGTTCAAGCCCAGCCTGGGCAACTTAGTGATTTGGTGAGATTCAAAAGAAAAAAATAAGGAAAGGGCAACACCTTTTTTATATTGAGAAAAGATTAAACTCACAGGAAGATTGCACATATAATGCAAGTGAATAAATTCCTGTGCCATTTTTACCTACATCCACTCCTCCATGACCAACATCTTCCCTACTTCTACCCCCGGGAGGCCTCTGCTCCGATCTCTCTCCCAATCAGGCAAGCCACAGACACACTGTCCCTTTTTCCTAAATATGTCAGCCTGCATCCTTAACATCGAGGACAGTTTCCGGTGTAACCATGACTCAGTGATGACGATCAAGATGTTCAAATGGACACAGCACCACTGATGACTGTAATCGAGTCCATATTTTAGTTTGACCAATTGCCCTAATAACTTTAAAAAAATGTTTAATGCTCAAGTCACTTCCTCCGCTTCCCACCCTTTCTCCCCTTCCCCCGTTATATATATTTTTATTCGAGTAATTTTTTTTTTGAGGCAAGATGTCAGTATGTAGCCTACGCTGTCCTTGAACCCATGAAGCTCCTCCTGCCTCAGCCTCCCGAGTGCTGGGATCACAGGTGTGCACCACCACGCCTGGTTATTGTTTTCGTTTTAACACAGAGTCTTACTCAGGATCCCAAGCAGCAGGGTTTACAGGCACGTGCCACCATGGCTAGCTTTTTTTTTTTTTTTTTTTTTTTTAAAATTTTTTTTTTTTTTTTTTTTTTGGTACCGGGGATCAAACTCAGGACCTTATGCTTGCGAGGCAGGTGGTGGAACCGCTGAACTAAATCCCCCGCCCTAAGAATTCTTTTTAAAAGCCAGGTATACTGAGTTGTAATTTGCATACGATGACATTTTCATTTTCGGTGTATAGCTCTATAAATGTCAGCCAATATATAGTCACATATGAGCATCAAGGCAAGATGCAGAAGTCCATCGCCCTCCAAAGGTCCCCCTGTGTCTTTGTGTCCTGCGCCCTCCCCCACCCACCTCTAATGCTGCTGACCCCATCCGCATCTTTGCAACACCCCCTTTTCCAGACCGTCCCTTACATGCGGCCACAAGGAATGTCTGAGAGTCTCCCTCGGGCTTCTGTGTGTCCGCGTGGTTCCTCTTTGTTATTAAATAATATTCCGTGGTGAGGAAGGAGCACCACATGTGTTCAGCATTCACCGGTTCAAGGACACTGGGTTCTAGGGTGTGTCCAGCATTCAGAGTTGGAAAGAAAAGCCCCTGTGAATATTCCTCACAGGTTCTTGCAGGAGAAATGTTTTTGCCTCTTTAGGGTAAATACTTAAGAGTGGATGGCTGGGCCTCTGGTGACTGTGGGTTGAACGTTATAAGAAATTGCCAGCACTCTAGGAGGCTGAGGCAGGAGGGTTGCAAGTTGGAGTCCAGCCTGGGCAAGATAATGACTTAGTAAGACCCAGTCTCACAATATAAAAGTGGCTGGGGATTCAGCTCAGTGGTGCCATCGCCTGCCTCACAAGCACAAGGTCCTGAGTTGGATCCTCAGTTAAAAAAAAAAAAAAAAAAAAAAAAAAATCCACACTGCCAAGGTTTCCCCTCTAACGCGGCTGTACCATTTTGCACCCTCATGAGTGTCTCAGAGCTCTAATCCAAGCCCTTCTTAGCAGTTGCTGTATTTGCTGTGTCACTTTTAGGCCCCTGCTAAGGCATGTGGTACATAAGGTGGCATTACCTAGGGAAACGTGCTCTTTTTCCTTTTACTTTTGTTCCCCCCTAGTACTAGGGGTTGAACCCAGGGCTTTTGCTCTGAGCTACATCTGCAGCTCTTTTTCAGATTTTTATTTTGAGACAGAATCTCACCAAGTTGCCAAAGCTTAGCTTGAACTTATGATCCTCCTGCCTCAGCCTCCCAGGGTCCTTGGATGACAGTTGTGTGTCAGCACATCTAACCAAAACATGCTTTTTTGTTTTTTTTGTTTTGTTTTGTTTTTTTTGGTATTGGGGGAACTCAGGTCCTTGCACTTTCAAAGCAGGTGGTGGAACCACTGAGCTAAATCCCCGGCCCATAACATGCTCTGTTGTTGTTGTTGGTGGTGGTGGTAGTGGTGGTGGTTTTTTGAGACAGGGTCTCACTATGTAGTTGAGGTTGGCCCAGAGCTCACTATGTAGCCTAAACTGGCCTTGAACTCATGGCAATCCTCCTGCCTCAGCCTCTTGAGTTGTGAGATTACAGGTGTACACCGCCACACCTAGCCCAAAACATGCTCTTTTTGACCTAATGGTATATTGAGGAGAAAAACGAATAATCCTCAATGAAAACATCTAGTTTGCTGGGCATGGTGGAAAGCACTGCCCTCAAAGCACCCAGGAGGTCGAGGTAGGAGGATCGTCATGATTCTGAGACCACCCTGGGTTACACAGCGAGTTCAAGGCCATTTTAGACTACGAAGTAAGACCTTGTCTCAAAACATTAAAAAAAAAGTCTAATGGGGAAAAAAGCCTAATCGGAAGGAACAATGAATTATTGCTTAATAGTGAGCAAAATTGATGGAGGTGGCCAAGTGCATTGCGGGAACTCAGAAGTCACCTGATGCCATCCAGGTGGAGGAAGGAGAGGCTCATCAAGGTGGCCTTCCTGAAGGAGGCATTGCTTTCGACATTGAGACTCAAGGCAGAGAAGATGAAATTCCACCCAGCATATTCTTGGCATTTGGACCAGCATGTGCAAAGGCCCGGAAGATGCTCTGAACTTGGGACCCTTGGACCAGTCGGGGGCAGCTGGCGCCTGTCCTCTTCACCACCCCATCCCTTCCAACCCCCTCTGCATGTCACTGGCCCATTTTCCCCTTGGCAAACCGGCTGCTTAGGAGGCTCCACCCTGCCTTCACCAATGGTCCCAGCTGATTTTCAGCCCATCTCCTGGGTGGGAGTCACATTTAGCAAATGTCCCCACGAGACTCGTTAAGGACAGGGGCATATTATGTCCAGGGAGGACAAGCCCGTGAGGAGAATTCATTTATTAATTAGGGGCTTCTCCGCCACCCCGGCTGTTTACACACACCGGCGCACGTACGCACACACGCACACGCGCACGTGGGCGCACGATAGTACAGAGACCTCTCTCCTACCCCGGGGAGCACTTCCAGATAGGACCACACAGATGGTGGCCTCAGCCAGCCTGTTGTTCCCTCCGGTAGCGATAATTTCTGAAGCCCTAAGGATTAAGGGAGCAGTGTTTCTCTGGACAACATCTGCCTGGGCCCCCGAAACCCGAGCCTGCAGCCCAGGCAGTGAGAGATTAGCAGCAGCCTTACCGGGGAAGGCAGGGCGCACAAAAGGGACCACACACAGGTCAACCTCTAGTGAGGGTCGGGGGTCCATGAGGCCCGAGGGAGCATTGTCCCC